ATCCCGCCCGTGCTTACCTAGCTCCCGGAGACCCGATCCCTCTTGGGAGGGTAACAAGGGAAAGTGTTCAGTGCAGATCAATGAGTAAGCACAAGCCCGCCTTGTTTCAGTACCTATGCTTAAACTGCCCCCCAATAATAATAGTAGTACCAGTATTAATAATGATGCTGCTTCTAACAGTGACAGATCTTAAAACCATGTATAAAAGCATGGCAATTAAGAATCATCTCCTAGAACACAATTTCATGTAGTTTCCTTTTCTCTTTACTCCAAGACTCATTTTACTTCTGATGGGAGTTGAAATGGCAAAAGTGCAAATCACCCCATTATTTACTATGGTTCTACCTCAAAGTTAAATGAAAAGCTGGAATGCAGAATCAAGGCAGCCAAACAAGAACAGAAGATGGAATTGGTTTTACAGATGACCTATGCTACCAATGAATTACCCAAGAAAGGGGAAAGGACAGCTGCTTGGGTACTTTTACTATTGAGAGGTTACCACAAGGTGGAAGTCTAATGCAGAAGAAAGAGAAGCAAATGGTTCGTTCCTCTTTGATTTTGGAATAAAAGTGTAGTTCTTAGAGGACAGTTAAGAGAAGTTGAAATTAATCTAGTATTCGCTTAGGCTGAAAAGTGAATAGAAAAAAAAATGAAGGCATAGTTATTTTATATATCCAAAACCAAACCAAACTCACTGCCGTCGAGTTGGTTCCGACTCATAGAGACCCCTCCTTGGGTTTCTGAGGAAGTACCTCTATGGAAGTAGATTGCCCAGTCTTCCTTCCGAGTATTTTATATATACTCCTGAAGATTTGTCTTTCCTTTTCAAATATTAAGAAAGAAGGCATTTTTGTTGTACCTGTTGTTCACAGGCAATGAAGTAAAGTAAATACATTTACTCTACAGTGTCTTATCTAAACATCCTTTCATGGAGATATTAAAAGCTAAAAAACGTATTTTATACTTTGCCTTAAAAAAGCAGGAGGAAGGGTTTGCAACAGCATATATAGTAAGTTTGAACTATTTTCCTAAACCAAAGATTGTATTTCACGCATTGTCATGGAAGTGGGGCAGTAATTTAAAAGTAGTTTCACATCAGTATGTTAACAACAATACAATATGCTTCTTAGTTTTGCTGACTAGAAATCTTATTTTTGCAGGATTGCTCTGAATTTTCAGTGTTTTGTACTGCTGTCTTCAAAACTTTTCTCAAAGAAGAAATCTGTCATGTCCTCCCTTAATCAAAATAGATTAAAAGGCTTGAAATTGTTGAGAGTACGAAAGTTATTTGTACCTTTTGGGGATCAAAACTGGAGATCCTGATTAGAGTGGGAGGAAAAATGAGGAACAAAATTCAAAAACACAAAATGACCAGAATTACTGGTCAGATAGAGATTGGTGGAACCCCCGAGACTATGGCCCTGGGTTATCCTTCAGGCCTAAAAATGGACTCAATTCTGTGGATTGGCTCTCGGCCCAATAATAGAAAGACCTACATGCAGAACACCTACCCTAGGGAGATGCACCCCTTAGATCAATCACCCATGAAACATCAGAGGGGTAGCATTTGCATAAAAGAAAAGGTGGACAGACAAGAATGCATACACTAGAAGGGCACAGGGAGGGGGTAGTCAGAGGGAGGAGAGTCTTTTATGGCTGGGGATTTTAATTGGGGCTGTGAAATCAAATGTGTATGAACTGTTGAATGTAAAACAAATCTGCTTCATAAATTTGCACCCAAAGCACAATAAAAAAAAAAAAAATAAAAAATAAAGTTATTTGTATCTTTTGGTAATGGGCTGGGAAAGAAAACATAGATTTCAAGTTTTCTATCATTTAAAAAGGAGCCTTTTATAAACAAAGAATTAGTGTCTGAAAACAAAAGCAGAAGCTCCACATTATAATTTTATGTAAAAACAACAGCCTTTAAAAAAAAATAGAATTATTTTAATAGTAAATTGACAGTATACCGTCTTTTCTTTCAAATATTATTTTGGCCAAATATTACGATGTTCAATTTTTCCTAAACAACCATTTGGACTCAAAGGCCTGATTAATTTGTTGCAGCATTTCTTAGAACACCAATACCATGGAAAACTAATATTTAATATTCCTTATAAATGGAAGTTCTATGATTAAAACAGTTTGGAAAAAATGGTTCGAAAATCACTATGAACATTAGTATATTAAAGTCTCAATAAGTATTATTCTATAATAAACTTGCTTAACTTTTTAAACACAGCATATCCTAAACTTATTTTTCTACAACCCCTTGATTCTTCCCTACTCCTCTGACAACATATACCTAATGACTTCCCATGAAAACAGTATACTATACTGAAAAGTACACACTGGGACATTGATGAGCTGATGAAATGAGCTTCTCCTATTATTTTTCTAACAAAAATTGTGGAGGTAATGCTAAGAATCTCACTTTCAAAGAGCCAACAACTATTGTCCTAAATAAATACTTCATCATTTCCATATATTAAGTACAGTGAACCATAAGACATAAGAATAATTATAAACCAGTGGCTAGAAAAGCCAGGGGGGTGGCCTGCGGTGTAGTAAATTACTTAGTATGGCTTTTCTACTCATAAGTCTTTGTAAACTCCAAGGTGAGATTTGCTATGAGCAACTGAGGAGCTCCTGATTGCTAAAGTTGTCCAGCTGGAGTATTTCTGTTGGGAGCGGCACAAAACAATGTTCTGGGAGGTTCTCACTCTCTCTCAGGTGCTTAGAGTTCTGATGCTATGATTGGCTAGTTTGGCAGAACACTCTCTGACTGCTGGTTGAGGAAGACGTGTTGCCGAAAAAGACACGTGCTCCTGAAAGAGACACGTGCTGCTGGGAAAGAGACGCAAGAGACACGCATTGCTGAGTAAGACACTGAGGGACATGCACTGCTGGGGGAGAGACTGTGAGAGACTTGGCTGACAGATGGTGGGCTGGGAGAGAGACTGAGCATTTTTCCTGAACTTTAATTGTAGCCTGGTACTTCCCTAGTAAACTCCATAATCTGTGAGTTCTGTGTGGCCACTGCAGCGAATTATCGAACCCAGGAGAGAGGTGGTGGGTGATTTGGGAGGAACAGCTGGAGAAAGGGCTAGAGGGAGGCAGCATGTCTGGCCTCGCAGGAATAGGCCTTATACTATTGATGGTGATTCTGTCTTTCTCTTGTGGGATTAGAGGAGGTCAGAACATGTGGCCTCCTTGACGTTTTTGCAACCAGCTTATACCTTATGAAACTTTTCATTGGTTTATAACTTTTTCTCATGTTCAAGATTTTAAAATGGCATTTAATTTTAAAAATACATTCATAAGTTGATATAGAATTCCTTAAGATAGAAATTACTCCATGAGGAATGATGATAATCAAAAGATATACTTTTTTCTTAATTCCTCGAAAGATTCAAAAATCACTCTGATATTTAAGTGTTATTCCTTTACAGACTTTATTAATCATCATCAGTTTATCTAGGCTAAAACTGCTCTAGAAACAAATGCTCTAGAAGTAAATCTTACCACTGGGCACTCCCATAATAATGCATCCTCTATTTTTTCTGATTTGGAACATTTTGGCATTTCATAAAGTTTTCTTGGCTCTGATGCAACACTAGGGAAAAAAAAAAAAATAAAGGATTATTCTTCTTGATAACTGAGATAATCTTTGCTTAGATATGAATGATTTTTCTATTCAGAGATTTAAAATACCAAAATATGATTTATTTTGCTTTCCTCTTAACTAAATGTTAACATTTTTTCTGATCACATAATTTGTACTATACATCATAGGGGGGGGGAACACTTGAAAACATAATAAACTAAAATAGTTTATAATACTATAAAACAACAAAATATAACGACTTTGACATTTGGGTGCATTTCCTTCCAGTTTTTCACTATACACATAGTCCTACCGGAACAGTCTCCAAAACTGGAACATACTGAATTCTTCCTATACCTCTGATTATTTAATATGAATATCTCTGTTTCATTTCCTGGACTTCACAAACTATTGTTCTAATATTTTAAAATGAAAATTTGTGGACAAAAAAAGGGCCCAATATTTTAGGATAAAAATTACTGAACACAAAAGAAAATAGCCTTAAGATTTTTTACTTCCAAATTGCCTTTTAGAAAGGCTGAATAAGTTTATATTTCTGACACTACTGAACAACACCTTTATTTTGTTGTGAAAAATAGAATCTTTTAACTTGTAATTCTTTGATTACTACTGAGATACGATAATGGATGTTTCAATTTTTTTAGCTGCTACATTTTGAAAATAAAACTGCTATTTAAAGAGACACAATTTTCAAGATGACAATTTTATTCACCTTTCATGTTCTGTCACTGATTCAGCATTTAAACAAACAAAATTTCACAGGAATAAAAGCAACCTCATCTGTGATTCTAACTTGTGGGCAAAATACCTCTGGATGGCACGTGAAAGAATTTTAACATTAGAAGACAAAATCTGATCAATAAGTCCATTTGCGTTAACTGGTTTCACTGGGTGGAAAAAAGTGAGAACAGAAGGCACCCCTCTGAGGAGATGAACTCATCACATTAAAATTCCGATCAGCTTACAAACAGTACAAACCATTAGGGGATTTCCCAAAAGGGAAATTTTAAAGTGATTGGTGGTCATTCACTTAATCAACAATAGGTGGCTTGGATTGGTTTAAGTGTTTGTGTCTGCAATTTATAGGCTAGTTATGGTTTATCTAATTAATAGAATCTTTCCCAGAACTATCTCTATCATGAGTTTTTAGTTTCTGTGAAGGGTTAAGAGTTAAGTATAAATGGGTGAAGGTGGGCATTTTTTCAAACACTATTTAATGTTCATCATTAGATCACCAATCACTACCATTTACTCTGATTTTAAAACATTTTTAATTGAAATGGACTCCTCCAAATTGGGCAAGTTATAAAACTGGGCATTAAATAATACACGAAAATTATTGCTAAGTTTGCTGGGTGTGATGACAATATGGTCATATAAGAAAATGCCCATATTGTCTTTATGTGTTTAATGATTGGTTGGATTATTTCCACTTCTAGCATGACAGCGTGAGGAACTCTGAAGACAGGTTTCCCAGTGAAAGACTGTGGAAATTATAAAAGGTTAACCGTTTAAAATCTCTGGAAATGGTCCTGGGAGCCGATGGCAAATAAAAAATTTATTCAAGAAAATCTAGTAGAGCTTGTTAAGAACGACGAAGGGTCTATGTTGTTTGCTCTTCTCCCTTGCTCCTTGTTCCAAGCTACTAACTCAGTAAGATGGAATCTCTACTACAGACTGGTATAACCAAGAACACTAGGCTTCTTCTCCCAGCTCCCAGTTAGAGGGATATCTTCCCAGGAAGGTAAGACTACAGAATTTTTCAGCCTGCCCCCAGCTACTCCCTGAGAGATGGAGGGTCTCTTTTCCTGCCTAACCTCTACTCATCACCCTTGTCCTAGCTCATAGGACAGCTCTATGATGAGAGAGGCAAGCTGTGAAGACCTGTTTCCCCCACCCCCACCCCCCCCCCCCCCCCCACAAGCGGGAGCTCGGGTAGCATAGTGGCTAAAGCACTTGACTGCTAACCAGAAGGCTGGCGGTTCAACCCCACCAGCCACTCCTCAGAAGGAAGGTTGGGCAATCCTACTCCGTAGTGATACTGCCTCGGAAACCCAAGGAGGGGTAGCTATGAGTCGGGGCTGACTCGATGGCACATAACAACAACAACAACATAGCCAGGGAAACAGTCAAAGAGAGCCCTGCCAAAACCATTGTCACCCCAGAGTAACTGTGAGTATAACCAAAGCTGTGCAGCCAGAGCACCCAGAGCAGCAGTATTAGAGGCTTAAAACTGTAGGGAGTAAGAGTAGGGATGGGAATGGACTTCAGTAAAATAATCCAACCAAGCATTAAACACATAAAGACAGTAACAATAGAAAGCTCCAAAGGGAAGGGGACCAGTACTCAGAATTGCTAAATTATCTAAAATGTTCAGTTTCTAACAAAATACTATCAGACATGCAAAGAAACTGGATTTAAAGTAGGCAGCAGAAACTACCTGTTAAGAGCCACCAAATATAGTATTTAACAAAGACCTCAAAGTAGCCATTATAAATATGCTCAAAGAACTAAAACCCGTTGCTGCCAAGTTCATTCCAACTCATAATTAAAGAAGTAAAGGAAGATATGATGGCAATATCTTGTCAAATAGAAAATATCAATATAAAGAGATAGAAATTATAAAAATGAACCAAATGAAATTCTGGAGTTAAAAAGTACAATAACTGAAACGAAAAATTCACTAGAGAGGCTCAACAGTAGAACTGAACTGGCGTAAGAAAGAATTAGTGAACTTGCATTAATGTAGACATGTGGTTCTATAAAAATTAAAGTTAAGGTAAAAAAAATGAGGGGCATTAAATAAAAAATTTTCACTAGTTACCTGCTAACACAGCACCGATAATTGTCAAAATATATTCTTCCTCTTTCATAGGCTATAGGTGACTTGGAATGAGTTGTCCAAACATTCTTAAATTTAGTACTTTCCTGAAAGACACAATGTATTCTGGTTTAGGAAAGAACTCAAGCCTCTATTGTGCACCAGTTTTAAGCTGGATAGCTCAATTTACAGTTTTACCACGCAGTATCTGTACTTTATTTAAAAACATTACTTAATTTTCTCTTTCTCATGCTGTGTTTTGCGATTTAAGTGAGGCGACCAACTTTTAGACTGTTTATAGAAAGACCTGAAAACTTAAAACTGAAAGTATCTGGAGCTCTAATCTATTTACTAATCACCAAGCTTACGGGAATCTATCCCTCACTCCATCATATACAAGTCTCTTAGAAAGGAGCTTTGGTGGTGTAGTGCCTAAGGCATCTGACTGCCAACCATACCATAAGATTGGCAGTTCAAACCCACCAGCCCTTCCGTGGAAGGAAGACAGGGCAATCTACTTCAGTAAAGATTTACCGCCTCGGAAACTCAGTCAGGGTCCCTGTAAGAATCAACTCGATGGCAGTGGGTTTGTTTTCTGTTTAGATTCAGCATGTAAAAACTGCACCCCATCAATAGGCGGGGCCACTGGTGGCCTGCTGCCTTTTGCTGCGCTCCCGGCCGGCAGGTAGTCACCTGGCACACCAGCACCCGCAGGATGCCCAGATTCGTCCTCTGTACCACGCCCGCGTCGCGTGCGAAGCAGCCCAGCGCCCGGCGGCTCAGCTGGCGGCACACGTTGGGCTTCCGGGTCCGACCCATGAGGTTCAATGCGGGGGGTGGGGTTGGAGAGACGGGCAGCTGCTACCTATTAATCTCAAGGCCCAAACTCCGTGCAAGGCACAGGAAAAACAGACATGGGGAACCAGTCGTGGACCAAAGGCAGAGGGGGAAGGGAAGACAGAATAGACACCACCCCCTTGTTTGCAGCCAAGCTTGGAGAAGAAGACAGGAAAAAACACCTCCTTCCCGGCCTGTTCCTGTTGCAGCTTCAAACACTCCTAACCAGGCCGCGAACAAGGCGACACATCCCTTACCGCGCGGCCTGCGGGAGCCGCTCCCTCAACGGGAAATGTAGTTCCCAGTGACCTCTGAGCGAGCCTGGTTTCTTCCAGGAACTACAATTCCCACAAGGCAATGGGAAAGGCCTCGCTCTGGCCCCACCTATAACCCGCCGTGGCCCGCCTCTAGGCCCGCCTCCGCCTCCCCACCTCGTGGTTTCATTTTCATCTTACCGCCTCGCCTACAACCTGCCTGGGGCCCACCTCCGCTCCACCTTCTCCGGCCGAGTAGAGGCTGCGCTGTCACGCCAGTGTGTCTTTCCGGGTCTGCACGCGGGTGTTGGGCAGGAGTCTGGCGCTGTGCTGCTGCTTCCCGTTCTCGGTTCCCCGAGTGCACCTTGCACTCCAAGATCCATTCCTCACTTCCCCGAAACCCCTATGCCTCTCGGGCCCGACCTTCACTCAGGGAGGCCCGGGCAGGGCGTCGGGAGGGGCGCAGTGTCAAGTGCGACCCCAAGGCAGCGCCTTGTGCTAAAGGTACGCCCCATGGCTTTTCCTTCAGCCACATGTGGGACGTGTGGATGCGGTTGAGGGTTAAACATTTTGAGCCTACAAACACTGCTTTTTGTATTATGAGTTAGTGATGGAATATGTTGTCTTTCCCACCAAACTAGGATTGAATTACTCTTTCCCAGAGCCTTCCCTTCCCTCCGCCTCTGCGCCTCTTTGTGGCCTGCGAGAACTCTGTCTGGTTTTGCGATAATTGTTGCATTTTCCTTCCTCTCACTTCCATAGTTTTCCTTGTTTGTTGTTATGTGCCGTCGAGTCGGACCCGACTCATAGCGACCCCTCCTTGGGTTTCCAAGGAACGTCAAAGGAGCTCTGGTAGCATAGTGTCTAAGGCACTTGACTGCTAACAAGAAGGCTGGCGGTTCAAACCCACCAGCCACTCCTCGAAAGGAAGGTTGGGCAATCCTACTTCTGTAGTGATACTGCTTCGGATCCAACTCCCGAGGCAGTATTACTGTGGAAGTACATTACCCAACCTTCCTTCCAAGGAGTGGCTGGTGGGTTTGAACCACCAGTCTTCTGGCTAGCAGTCATATGCCTTAGGCACTACACCACCAGAGCTCCTGTCTTGGGAACTTTCATTTCCAGTTCTCCCACCTCCTGACTTAGTGATATTTCTAAAAACGATCTGTCATTTCCCTATTAAAATCTTTCAGTGGCTCCCAATCACTCATAGCAGTTTTTCTCAAACCCGAGTAGGTACCCAGGATCCTCCATTATTAAATTAAAATGTTTTCATTATGTTAAATATATGCAGATATAAAACTAGGTGTATACTTCTTGTAGCTTTTATACAGATACAACACTCCAAACGTTTATAAATTAAATGAAGCAAAACTATTAGATCAATAAAATTTAAATGAATTAAATTCCTTGTGACCAAACAGACTGTTTTGCTGGACCTGAAGAGCTTAGAAGATAATCTATACTGTTGTCCATGGGGTACCTTAGAGTAATGCCTGTCCATGTCACCTTGTTAAGATTACTTGTTAAGGAATTACTCATTGCTTTCACTTCTTTTTTTCTGTTTAAACAACTGCAAAACCTTCCTTTTTGAATGTGTCATGACTTCACCTGATCGTCACTTGTTGAAAATCATTTATGTATAATAGTTTCCTTTTCTTTTTCATTAACCTACATCAATGAAAATGTATCACTTGTTTGCCAGGATACTCTAAACACAAATGTGTGACTGAAATCTTGTGGCAGTACGAAATTATAAGGTGGTCATTCAAATATTGAGAGTATCTTTTAGTTTTTATTTATTTTAGATTTTTGCCAAACTGAAAATAAAAAGTTTTTCTTAGAAAAATTTCCTAGCCTCTAGGGCATTTGACTGCTAACCAGAAGGCTGGCAGTTCAAACCCATCAGCCACTCCTTGGAAGCAAGATTGGGCAATCTACTTCTATAGTGATACCTCCTTGGAAACCCAAGGAGGGGTTGCTATGAGTCCGATCTGACTCAGTGGCAGTGAGGTTTTTTTTTTTTTTTTTGGTTTAAGGATACACATACAAGCTCTGGAGGCATAGAGGATAAGGCACTCAACTGTTAACCAGAAAGTCAGCAGTTCAAACCCACCAGCTGCTCTGGGGAAGGAAGATGGGGCGATCTACTTCCATAAAGATCTACAGCCTTGGAAACCCAACGGGGGTCACTGTGAGTCGTAAATGACACCTGGCAATGAGTTTGGTTTTGGTTTGGAGGATATATGTATGAATTCTCAGGGATCTGTACACCTTGTTTTAAGAACCACTGCCGTATAAGATAAACTGAATCCCTTAGGATAGTAAATGGGGTACTCCATTATCTACATCCTGCACACATTTTCAGCCTCATCTCTTCACCCATCCCTCACTGTTTGCTCTTGTGGTTCTGACATGTTAGCCCACTTTCTCAAGTCCAGATGTGTTTATACTTGAAATTGTCTTTGGAACTTTCTTACTTTCCTTCTTTTACCTACTATTTGAAAATCTTTAAAATTCATCCCAGATATCACATTACCACTTGTAAACTTTTCCTAACCCTTCCATCTATGTTAGCAGCCTTACTTCTCCCATGTTACTCAGCATGCATTGGTTGTAGCACAATATTAGAATTGTCATTTGTCAACATATTGACAAAACATTAGTTCACTACTCAGTTTCTGCCAAGTAGCCTGGGCAGAAACTGAGTAGTAAATTCATTCTACATCCTCAGTACACTGCCTAATATGTGATTAACTCCTATGTATATTGAATGGATGAATGGCCTTCTCTAAAGCAATATGTTTGTATCAATCTGTTAGCAGCAACTCAGTACTTTTATCATCCATGCAGATTTACCCATTGCCATTGAGTTGATTCTGACTCATAGTGACCCTATAGATAGGACAGAGTAGAATTGCCCCATAGGATTTCCAAGGCTGTAAATCTTTAGGAAAGCAGACTAACTCATCTTTCTCCCACAGAATGGCTGGTAGACTCGAACTGCTGCCCTTTTGGTTAGCAGCTGAATGCATTAACCACTGCACCACCAGAGCTCCTTGTTGTAGATTTTTAGCCTCCCCTTATTTCTTAAGTCGAAAAGAAATCATATTAACATAAAGAAATAACTATAATTTTTAATCCCCAACAGTTCTAATAAAAGTAGATGTTTTCCATTTGTTGAAGGTAAAATGGCACGAATAGATATCCCAGTGCCAATTTAGGATTTGGAAATGACTTCTCTCAGTTTGGGCATAAAACAAACAAACATTGGTTCTTTTTTCATTTCTGTGTCTAAGTTATGTTTACAGAATACTTAATCATCCTAGCCATGATAGTTTAAAGAAAAGGAAGAGGAAATATGATTTCAGAAGTTAATAAAATGCTTTTCTTTCATATACTTTGTTTAAAAAAACTTAATATAACTGAATAAATATATAAAGCACTCAAGTTATTAAACTTGAGCATTTGTTTAGAGATATTAAAGAAATTTGAACCAAAGTCACAGAAAATCTTTTATTATGTAACTATTGTTCATCTATAGGATGGTGGGAACTATTTTGGCATAAGATGTAGCAATGAACAGAATAGACAAGGTCCGTCCTTGGGGAATATAGACAATAAATAAGTAGGAGTCCATGGATGGTGCAAACAGTTAATGAGCTCACTGCTAAGTGTGAGGTTGGTGGTTCGAATGCACACACAGGCACCTCAAAGGAAAGGCCCGGGGATCTATTTCCAAAACATCATCCACTGAAAACCCTGTAGAGCATAGTTCTACTCTGATGCACATGAGGTTGCCACGAGTTGGAGTCGGTTTGATGACAACAAATATGTAAATTAAAGAGCAAGAGTTTTGAGTTGTGGTAAGTGCTATGAAGAAATAAAACAGTGATGTGCTAGAGAGTAGCTGGAGGACCTCTTTAATTAGGATAGTCAGGGAAAGCCTCTGAAGAGGGGACTTTTGAGCTAGCCTTGAGTAATGGGAAGGAGCCAGTCTATAAATCTGTGAGGTATGAGTGCTTCAGGCACTCACATAGAGTAGAGGAACCCCCAAACCTTTTGCCCTGAGAAAAATCTTTAAACCTTGAACTAAAGCGATACTCTGGAGTTATCTTTAAACAAAACAACAGTTTGGCTAAATTGGTAAATAATAAAAAGTTCACCTTGAGCATTGTACTTCTTTAAATAATCACATGAGATCAAATTGACAACAGTGACTCTAAAGCGTAGATGAGAAGTTTGTTGTTGTTATGGGCTGTTGAGTTGATTCCGACTCATAGCAACCCTGTAGGACAAAGTAGAAGTGTCTGCTCTTCGGGATTTCCTAGGCTGAAATCGTTATGGATGCGGATCGCTAGGTGTTTTCTCTTGCAGAGCTGCTGGTAGCTTCCAACTGCCAACCTTTTCATTATCAGCCAAGCGCTTAACCATCGCACCTGGTACCAGGGCTTCTTGAGAAGTTTCCAAAACCAAACTCACTGCCATCAAGTGAACTCCAACTCATGAGGACCCCCATTGCGTTTCCAAGGCTGTAAATCTTTGTAGAAGCAGACTGCCCTATCTTTCTTCCATGGAACAACTTGTGAGTTTGAACCACCAACCTTTTGGTTAGCAGCCAAATGCCTTAACCTCTACACCACCAGAACCCCTTGATGAGAAATTTGTTGTTGTTGTTGTTATGTGTCCTCGAGTCGGACCCGACTCATAGTGACCCCTCCTTGGGTTTCCGAGGCAGTATCACTACGGGAGTAGATTGCCCCATCTTCCTTCCAAGAATTGGCTGGTGGGTGTGTGAACCGCCAGCCTTCTGGTTAGCAGTCAAGTGCCTTAGGCACTACGCTACCAGAGCTCCTGATGGGAAATTTAGTGGGTAGTAAATATAAGTTGATGGAGATGAAGCAATATGGGTAGAGAAAGCAAGAAAGATGACACAATGTGAAGAATGTAAGCAATGTCATTTAAATGTACATGTAGAAATTGTTGGATATGTTGTGTATATTTTAATCAAACTTTTTTTAAAAAAAAGAGTGGTTCAGGCAGAGGTATGGTTGAGGGCATTGTCCTCAAGGTAGTAACAAGTTTGGGTTATTCTAAAACTATCAGAAGGCCTATTGTAGCTTTCTTAATGAGTAAGAGGGAGATGTAGTTGAAAGGTAGGCTGGAATCAAGACATGTTGGGCCTTGTAGGCCATGGTAAAGAATTCTGAAATTCATTCTGTTGTGATTGGAAGCCATGGAAGACTTTGGAGAAGAGACATGATTTAAGTTGTATTACAACATCATTATGCCTATAATGTGGATAATGTACTGTTAGGGAGCAAGAATGGAAGCAAGGAGACAGGTGGCTGCTGCATTGGTCCAGATACAAGATTTAGACTAGGGAAGGAGCAGGAGAAATGAAGAGAAGTGAACAAATTGAGGATATATTTTGGACATAGTTAATAGACCTTGAACTACTTGTCTCATAGTTGGATATGTGATAGATTGGATATTAAGGATGAGGAAAAAAGAAGACTCAAGTAAAATCACAGGAAAACAAAGTGGCAAATATATATCCCCAACTCCCCAGAACAAATGGGAAACAGTATTACTTATATTGTAATGCCAATTAAATGATGCCTATTAAATGTTTTATTAAATGTACATGCTAACGTTATACCTATTAGTGCTACAGAATGTTAAAATCAGTTCTATAGCTGGACTATATGGAAAGGGCAGAACAAAATCAAGTCCCAGAAGTAGACAGAGATCAGAGCATGTGACTATGGTAATATGATGGAAAATAATTAGAGTGATACCATATTCCTTTAAAAATGTAGTTGAATTGTGTGAGGGAAATAAGGTGGGCTGTTTTCTTTACAGCCATCCCATGGAAATGCTACTGACACTTAGGACACCTGACAAGTCAGATACTTTGGGACCCAGCATAAAAGGGCAAAAGAGGCTGAGAGCAAAGCCAATTAACTCACCACTCACAGTGCAAGATGAGATCAAATTCTCTGTGGACCTACCATAGTCATTTTTAGTAGAGATTACTCAAAGAACATCCTAGAATGGGTTTGTTAAGGGAAACAGCCTTCTGGAAAAATAGCTGTTACATTCACAGTAAATAATGTATTGGCTCACAATTTTCTTTAGGGGATGGAGAGGATCGTACTGCTTTATAAGGCAACTGAGTTAGGTTCTTTAGCAGTTACCAAAAAAAAAAAAAAAAAAAAGATAGTTGAGTACAGTACAGCATCAGAAACAAGAATGAAGTTGGAGACTGGTTGCAGGCATCCCAGGTGGGAGTCACTTTTGGATATTTGTTTTAAAATTATTAAGGCTTTTGACCACAAATTTGACTCTTCCATTTCCTTTCTCTGTATATTCTAGTACTTGTCTGAACATGTAGTAAATACATGCATATTCAAAATCTCAAAAGATTTTGGCTTAAGAAATTTGTAGTAAAGTTTTCAAATCATTCTTCTTTCTTATTAAAAAAGTATTTTATTTATTCAAAAGAATATGTACAAATGAAATAGCATAATGTATTAAAAAAACAAACCCATTGCTGTTGAGTTGATTCTGACTCATAGTGACCTTTTAGGACTGAGTGAAACTGCCTCCATAGAGTAAGGCACACCACCACATCTTTCTCCAGCCAAGCTCTTAACCACTGTGCCACCAAGGCTCCTTAATGTATAAATAATAGTTATAAAATGAATTCTCATGTATCTGGTGGAACATTACCTAAAACTTTCAAGACCTCTATGTGAGCTCTGGTAGCATAGTGGCTAAAAGCACTTGACTGCTAACCAGAAGGCTGGCGGTTCAAACCCACCAGCCGCTCCTCGGAAGGAGAGTTGGGCAATCCTACTTCCGTAGTGATACTGCCTCGGAAACCCAAGGAGGGGTCGCTATGAGTCGGGGCCGACTCGACGGCAAAACAACAACAACAACAACATGTGAGCTCTGGTAGAATAGTGGCTAAGGCACTTGACTGCTAACCAGAAGGCTGGCGGTTCAAACCCACCAGCCACTCCTCGGTAGGAAGATGGGGCAATCTACTTCCGTAGTGATACTGCCTCGGAAACCCAAGGAGGGGTCACTATGAGTCGGGTCCGACTCGACGGCACATAACAACAACAACAACAATGTGTCCCTCCCGGTTCCCACTTCCTCTTAATATGAATGATATATTGTTTGAATCTTTTTGAACATCATATAAAGTGAATCATATGGTATGTATGTACTCTTCTGAAACTTGGCTATTTTTTCCTCAGCATTATGCTTGACCTGTTATTCATTTATCTTTTCCGCTATATAATATTCCATTGTGTGGATATACTACACTTTGTTTATCCTTTTTCTACTGGCTGGGCTTTTGTTTCTACTAAGCTTATCATCCTAGAAAAGTACTGCTATGTGGAACAGTGCCTAATGCATTTGACTGCTAACCAGAAGGTTGGCGGTTCAAACTCACCAGCTGCTCCACAGAAGGAAGGTGGGACAATCTACTTACTGCCTCGGAACCCAGAGGGGGTCGCTGTGAGGTGGAATCAACTCGATGGCAGTGAGTTCATTTTTTTTTTTTATATTCTTTCACCTGTCTCCTGTTACACATCTAAAAGGGAGCATTAGTTTTCTATTTTATGACAAATTATTGTTGCTCAGTGCCATCTACTTGGCTCTGGCTCGAAGCAAGCAACCTTGCATATAACAGAATAAAATGTTGCTTGGTCCTGTGCCATCCACACAGTTGTTGCTGCGTTTAAGCCCATTGTTGCAGCTACTCTGTCAGTCTGCCTCATTAAGGGTCTCCCTCCTTTTCCCTGACCCTGTACTTTACCAAGCATGATGTCTTTCTCTGGCAATGGGATCCTCTTGATGACATATCCAAAATAAGCAGGGTGAAGTCTTGCCACCCTCACTTCTAAGGAAGCATTCTGGCTGTAATTCCTTTAAGACAAATTTATTCCTTCTTCTGGCAGTCCATGGTATATTCCACATTTTTTGCCAGCACCACAAATTGAATCTGTCAGTTCTTTGGTCTTCCTTTCTCATTGTCCTGCATTCAATATGAGGCAATTGAAAATACCATGACTTGAGTCTTTTTTTTTTTTTTTAATAAAAAAAATTGTATTTACTTAGAAGCATTCAGAATGTCAACAAAACAGTTGTAACTTTTTTTTTCCTGTTTGCAATTACAGAGTGGTATTCAGTTAACAGAACAACAATTATTTTGTATAAGCTGCATCAGAGATAACTGAAGATGGAAAAAAAAATAAAACAAAACCAAAAACTACCATCCCCATATATAACTAAATTGTGCTACACACCACAAGGACCTGGTTTCAATTTCCATGCCAATTTACAACCCCCAGACTGTACCAGGCAAGTTGGGCTTACTGAAGATACCACCAGGGCAGGGCTATCTAAAGACACATTAGGTAGTGTGTTAACTATACAAAAAAAGACCCTGTACAGTTTAAAAACAAATCTTACACAGCCTTACATTTCACTTTTTTTTCTTTAAAAGGAGTGAGTTGTGTACAGGGGGGTTAAATGCTTTATAGACAAGAAAAGAAAAACTGCGCTAGAACCAATTTATTCATCATCATCTTCATCTTCCTCGTCCTCCTCCTCCTCTTCATCTTCCCCATCTTCTTCATCTTTCTCCTCTTCCTTCTTCTTTTTGCTTTTCTCGGCCTTAACAACTCCCTTTTTGGCGGCATCGGGTTTGCCCTTGGCCCGGTAGGCAGCAATATCCTTTTCGTATTTCTCCTTCAGCTTCACCACCTTCTTCTCGTTCGGCTGCTTGTCCTCGGCGGCAGTATTGTTCCACATCACTCCCAGTTTCTTTGCGACATCCCCGATGGACAGGCCAGGGTGCTCGCCTTTGATTTTCGGGCGATGCTCAGAACAAAACAAGAAAAAGGCCGAAGGGGGCCTCTTTGGTGCATTGGGGTCCTTGAACTTCTTTTTGTTTCCCCTTTAGGAGGAATATAGGTTTTCATTTCTCTTTCATAACAGGCCTTGTCCGCCTTTGCCATGTCTTCAGATTTCCCTTTCTCTTTAGCAGACATGGTCTTCCACGTCTCAGAGCACTTCTTAGAAAATTCTGAGAAGTTGACTGAGGCATCTGGATGTTTCTTCTTGTGCTCTTCCCGGCAAGTTTGCAGAAAAAATGCATACGATGACATTTTGCCTCTCGGCTTCTTGGGATCTCCTTTGCCCATGTTTAGTTATTTTGCCTCTGCGAGGCACAGAGTCGCCCAGTGCCGTCTGGCTCTGCCTGGCCCAGCGCTCTCTCTATGGAGCTCAGTGTACTCAACTTGAGTCTTAATGGCTTAAAATGATACCTATTTGTTATCTCATAGCTCTGTAGATAAGAAATTAAGGCACAGCATAACTGGGTTCTCTGTTCCAGTCTCACAAAACTACAATTTTGTGATAGGTTGGGGCTATCATCTCATCAGAGACACGAGATCCTCTTGTAACTTCACTGGTTGTTGGTAGAATTCAGTTCCTTGCAGCTTTAGGACTGAGACCCTTAGTTCCTATAGATTACCAGCTCTTCTTTGCCACATGGCCCTTTCCACAATATGGTGATTTGCTTCTTCAAGGCTAAGATGGAATCATATAAAAGTAACCTAATCAGGGGAGTGATTATGTCACCATATTCACAGATCCTGCCCATATGCAAGAGGAAGGGTTATGGAGGGTATGTTTTACAGGGTATGTAGAGGATAGAGAGACATCAGCTCTATTGTACGTCAGGTTTACATTCATATTTGGGTCTATTTCTAGGTTTCAGTCTTCTATTCCTGGGCTACATTTGGTTGCTAACCAAATAGGTTGCTAATCAGTAGGTTGGTGGTTCAAACCCAGCAGCTGCTCCATGGGAGGAAGATAAGGCAATCTACTTCCAGAAAGATTTACAACCTTAGAAACCCAATGTGAAATTGACTTGATGGCAATGGGTTTGGTTTTTGGGTTTGGCTAATACCAAACCACTTAATCACTACAGTCTTATAATAAAGTTTGATATCTGATAGGGTAAGTCTTCTACCTTATTCTTGTTCTTAAGGACTATCTTACTTTTCTTTTCTTTTTAGCTATCTATCTGCACTTTTGTATATGTTTTTAAATCAGCTTAAGTTTCACAAATAAGTCTATTGGGATTTTGATTGAGCATTAAATCTGTAGATCAATTTGAAGAGAATTGATTGATATCTTTACCATATCAAATTACCTATCGTGAATACTATATATCTCTCCATTTATTTAGATCTTTTTTAATATCTCTGAATGAACTTTTATTATTTTCTCCTTAAGGGATTAATGTATTTTACAACTTCGTATGTATGTATATTATGGGAGCTCTGGTAGCATAGTGCCTAAGGCACTTGACTGTTAACCAGAAGTCTGGCAGTTCAGACCCACCAGCCACTCCTCAAGAAGGAAGGTTGGGCAATCTATTACCGTAGTGATACCGCCTCGGGAACCCAAGGAGGGGTCGCTATGAGTCGGGGCCAACTCAACAGCATATAGCAACAACAAATGTACATTATATTCAGTATTGCAAACGGTATATTTTTAAATTAGATTTTCTAATCTAATATATAAAAGTGCAGTTGACTTCCCCTCTGGGTAAAGTTAAATTCTTTTTTTTTTTTTTTTTTTTAACTTTTTGTTGTGATTTAGGTGCAATTTTACAAAGCAGATTTATTTTACATTCAATGGGTCATGTACATTTCACGACACTGATTTGATCATAATCCCCACAATGTGACGCCTACCTACCTACCTGTGGTTACCTCTTCCCTGTGTGCTTCTTACCTATGCATTCCTGCCTGCCTAGCTTTCTCCCTGTGCAGATGTTGCCCTTCTGGTCTCCCATGGTTGAATGTTGTAAGGAGTACGTCTTCCTGGTGTAGGTGTTTAGCTTATAGGCCTAGCTATCGTTTGGCTGAGAACTAAGCCACAGGAGTGAGTCCAATTCCCGGCCCGAGGGTAACTTGGGGCATTTTCTCAGGGGTTTCACCAATCTATCTGACCAGTAATCCTGCTCCTTTTTATGTTTTTGGCCTACTCTTACCAGGATCTCCGATTTTGATTCCTTTCTAAGTGGTTGGCATTGGTAGTTGGGCACCATCTAGTTCTTGTCTCAGGGTCATAGGCTGAGGTTCCCTTGGTCCATTGGTCTCTTGGACTAATTGTTTTCATGCATCTTTGATGTTCTTCATTCTTCTTTGTTCCAGACGAGGAGAAGCCAATTGTTGCATTTTAGATGGCTGTTTGCAAGCTTTAAGACCCCAGTTGCTACTCACTAAAATAGGATGCAGAACAATGTTTTTTGTGTGCTGTGTTGTGCCACTTGAGCTTGATGTCCCTGTAACCATGGTCCTGAGGTCACAGGCCCAGCAACTCACTCCCTCCAAATGCTTGGTTGCGGCTAAGAAGTTATCCTAATGTTGTCCCTGGTTAGTTCTATGATGTATATGGACATTTTTATGTTGTTGTTATGTGCCGTCGAGTCAGACCTGACTCATAATGACCCCTCCTTGGGTTTCCGAGGCGGTATCACCATGGAAGTAGATTGCCCAACCTTCCTTCCGAGGAGTAGCTGGTAGGTTTGAACTGCCAGCCTTCTGGTTAGCAGTCAAGTGCCTTAGGCCCTATGCTACCAGAGCTCCCGGACATTTTTATAGCACATACAAATACGTATATAAGAATATTATTTGCCAAAAAAAAATATATATAGTTTGCCAAACCGCGTATGGTCATGAGTATATTCCCATTTGCCTACTCATACATGATCTTCTTACCTGTCTACCTACGTATCTACCCACAGACTAGAGTTTGTTATTACTGATAATGCAGTATTTTGTATGTAATAGTATTTATCTTTGTCGTCTTTGCCTCTTGTGCACCTCTCTGTGTGCAGTTGACTCTTTTTGTACACTGATGTTTTATTCAGCAACCTTGCCATACTTTCTTTTTTGATAGTAATAAGTGTCATTTGTATTTTTAAAGGTAAATGAGATTGAAGCTCATCAGATATTTTTTCTATGCAAATAATCACTCCTTGGCAAATTGTGATAGCTATGTTCTTTCCTACTCACCCTTTTTCTCTTTTGTTTCTTTATTTTCTTTCTGTGCCGTCCAGGACCTTACTGTAGTGTTGACTAGAACCAATGATAGTGGACAGCTTTGACTTATTCATGTCTAAAAGAGAATACTGCTAATGTTTCACCATTACCATTGTAGGTTTTTGGTAGCTACACCTTATCAGGTTAATGAAATTCTCCTCCACTTCACATTTGCTGAAAGTTTTATTTATTTGATTTTAAATCATGAATGGGTGTTATATTTTATCAAATGTTTTTCTCTGTATTTACTGAGGTTATCATCTGATCCTTTTCCCTTTAATTTGTTAATGTTGCTGCCAGTTAAAAATCCAGGCTCTGCTCAGTGTGACTCATTGTAGCCAGTAAACAAGAGACCTAGGTGGAACAACAGAAAGCCACTTTTACTCTTTTGGCCAAGGAAGGGAACTGCCAGGGCTAGTGCCATCAAGATTGCTCCAAGGAAGACCCCTTCAAGCTTCTCTTATATACAGTTTACAAAATGGGAAGCCTTTCAAAATCATGGGTATACATACTTCTACATTCGATGTGGGCGCAGTTAGAGGTCCATACTTAGGGTGTCTGAACTCCACCCAGAGGTTAAAGGTTAATATTCATGAGGCACTTAATGACCTAAAGGTCACCTAGGTTACTAAAATGGCTGCCAAACAGTCTCAGGCTGGTTTTGGCTAGCCCTGGGAGGTCAGGGTAAATAGGATAAAGGGAAAGAGTTGTCTTACTTAGCTGTCCTGCTTATCTTGTAGAGCCAATATGCTCTGTCTTAATGTGATGAATTACATAAATATATTTTCTAATGTTAAACCAAACTTGGTTTTATTTAGATGAGTCCTTGTGGTGTGTTTTATTTTTCTTACATTGTGAGATTTGGGCAGCTCCTGGCTTCAGTGTTCATTTAGCTCTCCAGACTTCTGCTAGCCTTTGATCTCTGAGGATTTTTCTTTCTTTTTTGCTGGTTCAGTGATGCATTTAACATGATATTTTTTATTAAATGTATTTATCCAGCCTTTTAGAGCATTTTGGGAGCTCTGATGGCATGGTGCCTAAGGCATTTAACTGCTAACCAGAAGGCTGATGGATCAAACCCACCAGCCATTCCTCCAAAGGAAGATTGGGCAATCTACTTCCATAGTGATACTGCCCTGGAAACTCAAGGAGGGTCATTATGAGTCAGTGTGGTAGTTACGTTTGTGTGTCAACTTGACTGGGTCTGGTTGAGTGGCTGGGCAGCTGGTGGTAGTTATTCCCCATGATAAGACTGGCAATCAGCTCCATGGTGGGATCTCCCACAAGCAGCTGAGTTTGGGATGTGGTCTGCTTCCTGTATATAAGGAGAAGCCTTGGGAATGGTCTCTAGTTTATGACATGCTTGGACGCTGCATGTAGCCGTCATTGTTTAGCAGCCTGCCATGTTCTGCTGATCTTGGGACTTACAATGGACTTGAATTAATGGCCTGCCCTGTGGTTTGGTAACATCAGGACTGTGCCTTTTACTTGTCAACCTTGGGCGTGGCAGCCTCAGTAGCCAGCAGCTGTCTGAGTGAAGAAACGCCTCTCACTCCAGTGGGCTGGGAGCAGGAGGCAGAGCTGGACCCCAAGGTTGAGGGGCTTTCATCCAGCCCCTAGAGCCTGGCACTTTGAACTTGGACTTAAAGCCTCCAAACTGTTAAGAGAATAAACTCCTGTGTGTTAGGGCCATCGCATTTGTGGTTTGTTCTTGTCAGAGCAGCACTAGGTAACCAGAACAGTTGGATCCGACTCGTTGGCAGTGAGTTAGGTTTTGGGTTTTGGTCAGAGCATTTTATAACAGAAAGAATTTTGAGATATCAGATGTACTGCATTACTGGAATTCCTGAAACTGGAATTCCACTTTCTCATATTTTTGGTGTAAATACTCTCTTTAGTTTTATGTAACCATTTTTATCACCATTTCTGTCTTCTCTTCCTCATCTTGCTCCTATTCACAACCACCTCCCATCCCTACTGAAAACAATGTAGTAGAGTTGTGTAGTGGAAAGAGCATCATCATTCACAGGAGTCAGAGGCTTAGGTTCTAGTGCCAGCATCACTACTTAGTGAGATCTTGACCAAGCCACTCATTCTCTCTGCGTTTTGTTCAGTCATCTGCTAAGTGGAAATATTGAGGATCAAAGTGAAAATCACATGTGTTTATAAA